TTGGCCTCATCCCCCTCCGTCAGAATGTAGTCATTGGGCGCATGGAGTTGTGGACGCAGATGCTGGCCGACATCGACCAGGAAGGATTCGGGGGTGGATTGGAACAAGGGAAAGGAGCGTAAGCGGTCAACGAGGTCCAGTGGGAGCGCTTGAATATTCGAGGAGGTCAAGGGCGACGGCCGTACGGGGCGGTTCGGATTGGTGATGGAATCGAACGAATGTAGTAGCGACGCGGTGTCGGAGATGGGGTGAACAGCTTTTGTTCCACCACTAGCTCTGCCATGGCGCCGCATGATGGGCCGGTGATGAGGTGTGTTCAGGGAGGGCAGTTCAAGGGACAAAACAGAATTGGAGAAGAAATTCGAAAAGGGAGCATGTAGTTTGTTGGGCCGGTATCGAAGCGACCAATGGAAGCGATGACGTCGACGAGAATGAGATCACGGGGGAGAGGAGCTCTCAAAAAGGCATCATGGCTGACGATGGATGGATGGGAACGGAGACAGTGCGGGGGAGGGCAGATGGGCGAGGAAGGAAGGCGGTGGTAGTAGCAGTCAGTAGTGGTAGTGGTAGTGGTGATGGAAGGTGATGATGATGACGATGTTGGATGATTAGAAAGCAAGAAGCAGCTTTGACCAAGATTGAGAAGCTAAGCTGAGCTGAGCTGAGCTGAGCTGGGAGAGAAAGAAGACGAGAGGAGGAAGGAAAAGAAACAGCTCGCTACTAGTTACTCGGTGTTCTAGTTGGCTCTATGCGACAGGCACACAGTAAGTAGTAGTGTGCCAGAGAGGGACGGGCAAAAGAGCGGGAATCCTGCAGAGCAACAACAACAATAAAACTGAATAATAATAATAATAATAATATTTCTGGAGACGGGCGGCAGAGCATGATGGGGGGGGAGGGACTTTCTGGGTGGAAAGCTAAGCTAGTTAGTTTAGTAGGAATTCAACCAACTAACTCGGAGTGGTCAACAGTGGTTCAGTCTAGCCGGCGGACCAGAGAAAAAGAGAAGGTCGAATTCTAAAAGGTCGTGCTGCTGCAACTTCTTTTCGAAGCGGGGATCACCAAACGTCAAATAACGCGCTTGTTGCTCCACCGCCGGTCCGGAAGCTCCTCTGATTGCCCTCCCCGAAGTCAATGACGATTCGATCTCGCTCTTTCTCTCTCTCTCTCTCGTTAGGATGGATTCCGATCTGCTTCCTGTCACTACTATTGTCACTACTTTATTCTTTTAAACTCTGGACATGCATAAAGTGGTGCCATATTCCACAGTGATGTTCTAGTCTATCATCGTCGCACTGGAATCCTCGAGACAGCTGTGATGCTCCATATCATATGTCAAACTGGCGGGAATGTTGGTCAATTCTGCTGAGTGGGGAGCATCCTCCGAAACGGAAACACCGGTCTGTAACATCGACACCGACTGGAGGAATGGACGGCCAGTGCTTTTTTGGCTTTTCCCTCTATTGGTCTAATGAATAGCTTAGATGGAAGTTGTCAAGCTACTACTAACACTGAGCGGAGTGAAATATTTGGTCAGGCAGTGAGTGACAGGTGACACTATAATACTATTGATATTATTATTATCTCAAAATTCAGCACCTCAAAAGGGAGCAAAGTAAGTAGATACATACCTGCTGTCGGTGGGTCCAAGTCAGAAGTCTAGTCTAGCGCAGGATTTATTCTCACACTCACAAAAAAAAAAAAAAAAAAATAATAGTGTGAGCTCGTAAAATTACATGGCTCAAGCAAAAATGAAGATCGCTGCCAGACTGATACTATGTAGAAATCCACAAGGAATGTCCCTGGACAAGGGTATGTGTGAGTAAGGTCGACCGAAGTTACAAAGTATATAAGAATCGATCATGGATCCGATCGTCTGCCCACCTGCATGGGGAACCATGCATCCCAGTTCGAGTTCGCGTTTCTAGACGAGTACGGTCCCTATTTTAGGCTTCAAGCCTTCTCGGCACTTGCCAGTTTGCCAGGCCATGGTTCCCACGTCTTACAGCCTACCAGAGCCAATAATCCCGGGTGGTTAGGATCCGTGCGCGCACGAGATCAGACAGCAGGCAGTTGCCGCTGCACATCATCTGTTCTTAATCAACCCGGCTGGTCAGGTGATGGGGACACGCGGATGAGTACTGCTTTCGGATGAGTTCCAGTAATATCCGTCCCAATCCTAGGGATAGGAACGTGACTTGACGTGTCTGATATAATATTTTGGTATCAACAATCCTCAACTCCATCACAAGAAATTTGTCAAACCCGCGCTTCGTTTCCTGCCTTTCATAGATAACTCCTATATGTGCCCGGATAACTCCTTTCCAGTCGTATTCAGCGCGCTGTTGTTGTGCCTACAGACGGCGCATCCTGTTGTTCTTGGGCAGCCCGGGTATAAGGACGCCATTTGACTGTCTGGCCGGTCGGTCGGTCCGGGGTATGTGGTTTGCTTCATTCGGACAGCGCTGGTCGAGCGCGGGTGTTCAGAAGACCTCTGTTCGTAGAGTGGAGATGTCCAAGGATAGTGAGGCAGGCGTTGTGCAACTATTCCCGCAACACTAGATCTCTGCCGTTAGTATATGCCATGGCGCTTCCAGGATTAGATCAGAGACTCACCTGTAAAGAGCTCGCGGGATTTCTTTGTTGCGCCTGCCAGAGAAAGATGACCGGACAGAAAGCCGAGAGGCATGTAGACATCCAGCGAAAAGTGCTTATGCAGATTGCGCAGCTCTCACTCCGTCCTCGACCGACGACTTCCCAGAATGATATCAACATAAGCAGGACGAGTTCCTTGCCAAGTCTCAAGCACGTCCTGCACAATGCCATAAGCCAAGCTCAACTTGAGACCAGTCTTGGCCGAACGAGCAGCCGTATAGATATCTTGTCGCGCTAGAAACCAACAACAATGACACAACATTAGCCCAAAATTCAGAACCCAGGGAATAGCAAACAGAGAGAATAACCCACCTAGCACACTGTAGATTCCCGACATCGACAAACCCGCCGTAACCGTCGACAGAAAATCCCTCTGATCATGCCGGGCGTAATCCACCACCTCCTCCAACAAGCAGAAACACAGAGCACCAGTACCCAATTTAAACCCCATTTTCAAGCCCTGAGTAGATCCCTGCAAGAAAGCTTGATAATTCTTCGACTTATGGTACTGGTACCACCCCCGCGCCGTGTCGGGAAAGCGATGGGCATTTTCAGCTCGAAACCGGTAGGCTGCGGTCTTGCTGCCGTGCATGTATCCGATACCCAAACCGGCGGAAAAGGCAGACGTAGACATGTATTGAATACGCTTTCTGAGCTTGATCCCGAGTCTGGGGGGCGCATCTGCTTCGAAGAATCTGTCCCAGTGCCAGATCTTCCATAGGAGACTGTCCTCGTGTCCTTTTAATCTGTCCCAGCCTTTGTCCACCATGGTGAATGACTGCTTGCGATTGCTGTTGGTAAGAGCGAACCAGGGTCGTTAATGACTTGAATAATGCGTAGGTTGGCGGAGGAGGTCGGTGGCTGGTTGTGGTGGTGTCAGCTTCCCCCGGGGACATAAAATCACGGGCAGCTGGAGAACGGGACGCACCTGAGCGCCTGGTTCGCCGACTTCCGCCCGCGCCGCCTTGTCAAAAAGCTCCGAGGTCCCGCTGATGATCAGCTCACTGATCACAAAATCCATACTTGACCAGTCTGCATCATGGTAAGTACATTATCTTTTTCTGTATATGAACTGAGGACATGCTGGTGTGCTAACATAATCTAATGTAAACAGTCTCAACCCGACCCTCTAAGCTGGACTCTTCTCTTCAAGAAACACAAAACCACCGTGCTTCTGATGCTCCCGCCATCGGAGACGATCGCCACTACGAAAGAAGCACTCCTCAAAGCCCTCAAATCCCGCGAGATTCACGAAATCAACGGCGACTCAGTTCCAGAAGATTCTTCTCAAATTGAGTTCGGCGTTGCAGTGGATAAGAATGATCTAGAGAAGGGCTGGACGCGACTGGAGGCTGAGGTGCCTGCGTTCGATGATGACAATGCTCCTAAACGTGGAGCCGCAAAGAAAGGTGCCGGCACTCTCACGCTGCAAACAGCTGAGATCAAGAACGGGCAGCCTATTGCTTTCAGATTCCGGAAACCCAGGGAGGACTCGGAGAAGGGTGAGGACATGATTGACCTGGAGCTGGATGATCCTGGTTGGGATGTGATTGTTCCGAGCTTCGATGATGAAGAGGAGGAGGTTAATTGAGCTCCTCCTCATCAGAATACTTCCTCTAGGTGGTATTCAGCAATGCTTTCAGGGGTTGGCGCATGGTTGATCGGGGCTCATATCGGCGGCGTTTACGTTCTTCTAATGTCAATATTTGGGCAGAAATACAATAATGTGGCAATCAAGAATTTCATGGAATACAATCTATATAGGCTAGGCAGGACTTCTAAAAGCAAATAGAGCTCCAGTACTGCCAGGAATATTGTTCCTTTGACAACAATGGCTGCATGTATGTAAAGCTATCGTTATTTGGATCCACTGCAATGCAAGTGTTCAATTTGGCGACAATCCAAGGGATGTCCGATGAGCCATAGCACAATCCAGTGGAGGTACAACAGACAGAATAGAAATGCGGGACACACGACAGCCAATAACGTCCTGTCGAGTCTGTCTTATCGAAGTTCTGCATTGGATAATAAACAAAAAATAGACATGTACCACGGAAAAAGCAACAAAGTAATGATCAATGAATTATTCTCAGCCAATTCCATCATTACAACAAACCGTGGACCAATCAGGAAACAATGGTGCGTGGTGTTATGAGCTATATGCCGTATATTAGAAATAGACAGTCATAGTACCAAGCAAGGTTCTAAGCGATAACGTTGCAGCCACAACATATTTGGATTATCAACACGGCAGGTGGTTGCTCGGAGCAACAAGGCGGTGGAAAACAAGCGGGTGTCAACAGTCAGGCCGAAGTTGGAACTAGTGCTCAGCGTTGCTCAACAGGGGAATCTCTGGGGCCGAACGGAAAAACAGGTCCACAGTCAACATTCTTCACGGTTGACTCCTCAATCCTTATCTTCTACAGCTCGTTGTTCCTCACCAATTCGCCTTGCCGACGATACAGGGCGTCGCAACGTCCCTGGATAGCCGCCCGCCGCGTTGAATCCTCTTCCGCGATAGCTCTCCTCTAGAGGGACGTGGCGCCTCTGCTGTCACCTACGAAACACCATGGCCGACGCTTCATCGATCACCGTTGCGGTCCGAGTTAGACCGTTTACCATCCGGGAGGCAGCACAGCTCTCCAAATGCGAAGATGGTCCGCTATTCCTTGGTGACGGCTCCTTAGCTGGAGCACCGACACCAAAGCTCAACCAGAAGGGCCTTCGCTCCATCATCAAAGTCATTGATGACCGGTGCCTGTGAGTTTGACGTATACCATGCTGTCTTAGTATAATCTAATCAATTATTCAATAGTGTGTTCGACCCTCCGGAGGACAATCCCGTACAAAAGTTCTCCAAGAGTGTTGTCCCTAACGGCAAACGTGTCAAGGATCAGACCTTCGCCTTTGATCGGATTTTCGACCAGAATGCCTCGCAAGGAGAGGTGTACGAATCAACGACCCGAAACCTTCTCGACAGCGTCCTCGACGGCTACAATGCAACGGTGTTTGCATACGGTGCCACAGGTTGTGGAAAGACTCACACCATTACAGGCACGGCCCAGCAGCCCGGTATTATCTTCCTGACAATGCAGGAATTGTTCGAACGCATCGATGAACGATCCGGAGAGAAGGCGACTGAGGTTTCGCTTTCCTACCTCGAGATTTACAACGAGACTATCCGTGATCTTCTTGTGCCTGGAGGTAGCAAAGGGGGGTTGATGCTCCGAGAGGATTCAAACAAGTCCGTCTCGGTGTCAGGATTGTCAAGCCATCACCCGCAGAATGTACAGCAGGTTATGGACATGATCATGAGGGGTAACGAATGCCGTACCATGTCCCCGACCGAGGCCAACGCTACCTCCTCGCGGTCGCACGCAGTCCTTCAGATCAACATTGCACAGAAAGACCGAAACGCCGATGTGAACGAGCCCCATACCATGGCGACTCTGAGTATCATCGACCTTGCGGGTAGTGAGCGTGCCAGCGCAACCAAGAACAGGGGAGAGAGACTGTTTGAAGGTGCAAACATCAACAAGTCCCTCCTCGCCCTCGGAAGCTGCATCAATGCACTCTGCGATCCTCGGAAACGAAACCATGTCCCCTACCGAAACTCCAAACTGACCCGTCTCCTGAAGTTCGCGCTTGGTGGTAACTGCAAGACTGTGATGATTGTCTGCGTTAGCCCATCGAGTCAGCACTTTGACGAGACGCAAAACACTCTACGCTATGCCAACAGGGCGAAGAATATTCAGACGAAGGTCACGCGCAACGTATTCAATGTCAACCGTCACGTCAAGGACTTCCTGGTGAAGATTGATGAGCAAATGGCCTTGATTAACGAGCTTAAAGCACAGCAAAGGGATTCCGAGAAGGTCGCCTTTGCCAAATTCAAAAAGCAAACCGAGAAGAAGGATGCAGTCATTCGTGAAGGATTGTCCCGCATTCGCAATGCGTACGATCATTCGTTGTCCGAGAGACAGGAAAGAACCAACCATATGATCAAACAGAAGCAGATCAGTCGCCGGATAGGATTGCTCTCTGCGTGGATCGGCGCTTTCGATCATATATGCGCCAGTTGTGAAGCTGAGCATGCTCTTTCCAATCTCAGGGCTGTACGCAAGACAGCACAAGGAATCCTTCTCGAACTGGAGAGCAGCAGGCAACATTATCACCAGCGACTGGCGAAGAATGCGTGGGACCGCGGCATGACGTCCGCGGTGGAACACGCCATTCGTCAACTACAAGATTTTGATATCAGTGACAATGGCGATTTTGTCAGTATGACTCGCGAGGCCGAGCTGCTGAGGGCCAACCATGAGCGTGAGGCTCTAGCGGCAGTCGCTGAACAGGACAAGGCGGGCGAAGCGGCCACTGTGCAATTGCTTCTCCAGGCACAGTTCGAACTGATTACTGAGATTGAGAATCTAATGCAACTCAGTGAGGAAGAAGCCATTGAGCAAGGGCAGAAAATGCTGGCAAAGATGCTCAATTCTTGTTCCACCTCAGTCTCTAACATCGTGAAGCCGGACGGTAACCTGCCATCCATGCCGCCATTGAGCCCAGTCAAGGCTAGTCCCCTCAAGCAAAAGAAGAGGCTGAGCATCGCGACTGCCGCCCCCTTGGGCCGACCCTTGGCTGCCCCTGTCTTGACTCCTACAGCAGCGCCACCTTCGCCGCAGAAGGGATCTCCCCGACGTCGCAAGTTGAACGTTGGCAGAAAGAGCGTCAGTTTTTCACCAAAGAAACCCGCCGCGAAACCGACGAAGAGAAGTGTACGATGGAAGGACGACGAGCACGAGGGCACATTGACCGAATTTCAAAAGACACCACAGAAGACGCAAATTACCACTATACCAGAGAACAGCCCGGAGCCCCAGCTGCCCCAGCTACCCCGGACATCGCCCATTCCTCGCGGAATTCCAGTGCCCAGTCGCAACTTCAGTCCTTCAGGCGGGTCACCCCCAGTGTCCGCAGTCCCCGAACCGACGCTCAACGTGCAAAAGAACAACCGATTCAAGGCGGGATTCTTGACGAAAAAAAACAGCAGCTCCCCAATAGCACCCCCAACAACGACAACGCTTCCCCTGTCCGACAGCGAAAAGTCACCCCTGCGCGACATCGAGGGCAGCAGCTTCCTGAACCGGGCGTCCGTCGAGCGCCCCTCTAGGATTGCGGTCCGGACATCGAGTGGCAGCTACTCGGGCAGCCCGGCATCCGACAAGAACAGCTGGAAGGCAAGCAAGGACGATGCCATTAAGATTACCTCTGCCATGAGACGGATTTCTGGAGGATCGTTCCAGGTGGGCAGCTCCGCTAATGCCCTGCGCATCCACCGACGACGAAGCCCGACATCGGCCACGTACGGAAGCTCACCAACTGAGAACAACACAATGAACACTATGAATACCATGTTCACGGCCTCGCAGGCCCGGCGGATGGGCAAAGGCGAGAAAGAAATTGAAAGCAAGCCCGGGGTGTTGGGCCCTCGCACCCTGCCTATCATGAAGAACACGCATCGACGCACTACCTTTGGCGGCGACATCCGGCCCCGAGACATCAGCCTGAGCAGCAGAGATGCTATCCGGCTCAGTGCGATGGCGACGCCTAAGCTGGAGAAGCCCCCGGCGAGCTTCTCCAACGGTGGATTCGCCCTGCGGTAACTGAAGTGATCCGCAATTCCCTTTGTTTAATTGTTGGGGTCTAGGTAATACGGACGGTGTTCAGGAAGGATACCACATGCTTGATTTCTGGTGAAGCAGACCTCACGATCTGGGATCAGAACTGCTCATCTGGTGTGTACGGGATTGATGTGCTTGATATGAACTTGGAAAGATTCATAAACTCGATTACTTTTTTTTCTCTTCTCTTTTTCATGTTGATGGTATTTCTTATTCAGAGGCATATATTAGTTTCGGGACATGTACCATAGCAGGATGAAAATTTTCCTATACCTTTCGCCCCAATAACAGTAAGCACTAAACTAGGCTATCCAGTGTCCACTATAAGTACTTCTAGAAGTCAATTCTAGAAGCCTTCCTGATGTCATGCACGGAATGACGCCACCGCCCGCCTGCATGACAAATCCACTTCTCCAGTTCCCTACTACTATCTACTAGTCAATTGACTACTCTAATCTCCTTATATCCTCATTAAGAGCCTCGAAAAAGTCACCTCTATCTATTCTGACCCTCATCTCACCCAAGCACAACCATTCACAAACACAATAACTCACACACGCGGACCTTCTAACCTCCAACCGACCCCTCATCCCCGCCCTCCCGCGGGACCCAACACCACCGCACCGCGGTGGAGCTCTCCGACAAAAAAAAGTCCCATGGCCTTCGCGACATCCACAACTTTCACACGCACATTACTCCGCCCATTTATCTCAACCAACTTCGCATCACTATCCTTAACCCCAACCACAGCCACATCAGCAATAACACGCACCATGTCCTCCACCACATCAACCCCCCAAACCGCCACCGTCGCCGCCGGCTGCTTCTGGGGCGTGGAACACCTCTTCCGCAAACACTTCGGCAACGGCAAGGGCCTCCTCTCAGCCAAAGTAGGATATTGCGGTGGTCACAGCGCCTCGCCTTCCTACCGGGCTGTTTGTACGGGTGATACTGGACGTATGCATCCCCCCAAACCCCCCCAATTATACCACTAAATGATAACTAATATATGGGAATATGGATAGACGCCGAAGCCCTCCAAATGACCTACGACCCAAGCATCGTGAGCTACCGCTCCCTCCTGGAGTTCTTCTATAGAATGCACGACGCCACGACGCTGAACCGCCAGGGCCCGGACGTGGGCACACAATACCGCAGTGTGATCTTCACGCATAACGACGAGCAGGAGAAGATTGCCAATGAGGTGACGGAGAAGGTTGGCAAGGAGTGGTTCAAGCAGCCGGTTTCGACGGTCGTGGTGCCTGCCGGCCAGTGGTGGGATGCCGAGGAGTATCATCAGTTGTATCTGAATAAGAATCCGGAGGGGTATGAGTGTCCGGCTCAGTAAGTTTTTTCTTTCTTTCTTTTTCTTTTATCCTTTTAGGGTGTTGCTAATGGGTGGGTATAGTTTTGTGAGGTCGTTTCCTCCGCTTTCTGAGTAGGGTGGATTGGTGGTTTTTGGGTGAGTGGTGGGTTGGGGAGATTGGTGTATGGTGTATAGTGTATAGTTGAATGGCATTTTTTGTTGCTTGTTCTTGTTAAGCTGGTTTATGGCTACGATATCTACTTCTGGTATGAACATACGGTTCATTAACATCCTGATTACAGCCCTAATAGTAGTAACCTGTGCAAAAGCAACTCTATCCTAGAATCCGTGACATTTCCATAAATGAACAGAACCCCTTATTCTGGTCCGTGGCCGGCACGGACCGACTCAGGCACACCCCCCCATATCTCCAGTGTTATGGAGGTGGGTCAGGGTCTCTCGCATTTCCAACTTGCAGATGGCCAGCGTCATCCGGACTACATGACACATGGTGCCCGTTCACCTTTCTCACTCAACACTACTAAATGAGGCAATGGATATGTTATCCTTTGCGTGGCATGTGCCATCTGCAGGCAAAACGCCTGAGTCAACGCAGGGTCCGTTTGATAAAGTTCCTGGCCATGCCAGGGCGGTTGGTCTCGCGAACCAGCACCAATTCCTTCTCGCAAGGGTCCGAGGAGTAAGTAACCGAAACGCCACTGTAGACGTTTCGGCCATTCTTCCAATCCTCAAAGACCTCGAGCACACGGCGAGCAACGACGGTGCTCGTGAACACGGCAGTCGCTGTGGTCATTAGCATTGCTTAGTCGTTTGTAATCGCTATATGATATAGTAGGCACTTACCGTTACCAGAATTGAACACCCAGAGGAAATCAATGTTTCCCGGTCCAGCCAGAGCACGAATGTCCTGCTTCCATTTATCGGGAGACATCCCCTCGGCAAAGAGTCTCTTCCTCGCAAAAGAGAGGCGGCGACGCTCCCGGATAGGTTGGTTCATTCGACGAAGGTCTTCATTCCAGTCGATAATTTCGGCCAGCTCAACGCGGTAGCCTTCCCCAAGACGTCCATAGCCCAGCATGCGCTCCATATCCTGATTAGAGTTCAAGAAGGCAAGCGCCTGGGCTGCATGCTGGAAGGTCACCTTGGTCCTTCCATTAGTCTCCACGCGGATGTCCTGCAAGGGCCCTTCGTGGATGCGAGTAGTGATATACTGGATGAAATCCCGAGTAATCTTCCCATAGACACGAATGACTCCGGCTTTAGCGTCGGGGATGTCGGGAGAGACAGATGCAGGGAGCGTGACTCCGGCATTTCCTGACTCACGCCCTTCAGTACCATCGTCACTGCTCTGGCTTGGCTTGGACACGGAGCCCAACACCAGAGACATAGGTGACATACACTGCACCTCATGGCTATGACCATTAGAGATCGAGCCGGCGACCTGGGCCCAGCTTCCAGTATGTAGATGACGTCCTTCGGGCATCTTTCTGGTCCCATCCACATAGCCATTGTTCTCCTTCTCAGTGTCGCACAAGTAAGCTGAGCCATTTGGCTTCTGGTTATCGATGTGAGAGGAGAGCTGGGTGCTTGCAGATTCCTGAGTGACACTATCCTGCTGTGGTTGTTAGTGTTAATTGCAGTGTTTCGCCCATTAGACTTGTTTGTTCCTGCTTACCTCAGGGGCCAGGACATATTGCTCAGGACTAAGATGCTCAACTCCCTCAGAGAACTTGTTCACAATAATAATGCTAAGCTTTCCGATCTCGTTGGCGACGTGGTGTTGTCCATGCACACGGAACTACGTGATTTAGCTCGCTAGTTTTGACAGAAAGGTAAGTTTCATAACCAACATGGCAAGAGATAAGGTTGAGGTGATTAAGGGCCTCAGCCATGGCACCGTCAATTGAATAGGGCCTCATCTTGGATATGGACGAGGGTTGACGTTGACGATAGTTCTTGCTTAGTACTCAAGATGATAAGATGCGTAGCCGTGGAGGAGAGGTAAACAAAAGAAAAAGAAGAGATGATGATTTGGATGGAATCCTGATGGGAGAGAAGAATAAGAAGAGAGGATGGGGAGGAAAGAAATAAGAAGGAAGAGGAGAAGAGAAGAAAAGAAAGAAGCGAGTAGAGGATTTGGTTTATTCACTCCGAGCTGGAGACGGAGTGAAGGAGAGAGCAAACCAGGCAAATCGAGCTTGGTATTTTGTATATTTCAATTTACATTAAAGCAAACCAACTAGTCATTCTGTCGGAACAAGCCAGCCATCCCTCTGATGGAAAGATCGACCTTGACAGCTACAGCTTCTTTGGAAAGCTACAACTATTGATTCATAACTACCAGCCAGAGGACTTTGTATGTTTCAATACATATACTTGCTTCTATCATGTGTTTCACATCCTTAAATCACAGTGTTGCCCTACTTGAAGTGTTACATACAACAAGCTCAATCCACTGGCATTTCTCCGAGAGGCCATGACATTGTAGACTGTAATCCTTTTAAACACTTGGTTGTCCCATTTTCATTCAGTGATACATCAGACACTTTCGTCTGCACGAACAAGCACCTGCATCTGTGATTTATACAGCATGCCACTACTCGAGCTTGATGCCTTTATAGAGAGTAATGGTGGTAGTGTAGTAGTCACATTGAGAAGACAAGCATGTATACCATCGAACCACATTCATTATTGTCCAGTCAGTATAATCTTTACTTCTCCAATTTCTCCTCAGGGTTAATTTGGGCTAGTGTGACTGTCTTGAATCGGGTTTTTGTCCATCTAACTTCTTCCTATCACAATCATCATAACAACACATCAACAAATGACAGTGTGACGAGTAAACCTAGATCCAACCACACCTTCATTGCTGAGTCGGCAGCATTCGCCATCGATAAATCCATAGTGGCAATTCAAACATGGTCATCCTAGTATAGTGCTGCCATTACAGAGAAGCAATACGATGATGCCATCTGTGCGTGATACAGCCGCCGAGGATATACTAGTACTTGTACAGTTCAGGGCCGAAGAGAGTTCTATCATGGAAAAGCATATATTCTTGAGTGACATATGATGTAACAAGTATGCTGCCTCCATCATACTGGGATATCAACAGTCAGGCTAACAGCCAGAAACCTATGACTGGTGGACTAGTAATTGGCGAGGATTGCAGATAGGGTAAGATTGTATTATGTTTATGTCCGGGGAAGTATTTTTTTTTTCTCCATGGACTAAATTCCACTCAAGCTGATTGTATATTTTCCGTAGTCGGAGCAAACTGACCAAATCATACAGTAAACTATGCCATAACCAACACCTGACATCTAATTAAGCTTGTATTGAGAGAAACAGCAATAAAATAGCCTCACTTTCACAAAACCATACCCTTCTATCAATCCATAAAACAACAAAACAGACCCATCACATCGCCATCCATCAAATCAAGGTTCACAATAACCTAAGTAGTCTAAACATCGCAATTATTCTCGGCCGATGATCATCATGCAGCCAATCGCGCCACATAAGAGCCCGACCGGTATCTAGATATCCGCAGTCACAACTGTCCATCGCTGGGTCATATCAAGATTAAGACATGTCATGTCATTTTCCAGATAATTAGGCTCTTATCTGTATGTTGTTCCAATCATTTCCTCCACCCCACATGGCCTAATCATTCTTGATTGCCTTGAGCCACACCTCGCTCTCCCCTTGCATACTCATTCAATGGGTATTCGCAATGGGTGATGTAAGCTTGATACTTACTTACTCGCGAGAGATGGGGAAAATGTATACATCATATGGGTAAATACTAATCGAGGGTCTGATCGTTACTACCTATGTTGTTGCCTTTTCCGTGTTATGTTGTGTGGTAACTGCTCATTAGACGAGGGGGGTTTGTAACTATTTCAATGTGCGGGGGCTTATTACTATTGTTTATACTTTGTATGGATCCAGAATTAGCAAACTAATTAGCTAGCTTGGGAAGGTAGATAGTCAGGAACAGCTGCTGACAATTGTGTGCGTGTGTGCTCCGAGCTTCACCCTTCTCATCGTAGATTTGAAATTAGAGCTTGGTGCAGCAGCGATTTTAAAGTTTACTGAAAGAAAAACCAAGCAAGTTACCCCTGCATTGGACGAAGGGTTCTGCAAATAGGAGAGAGATTCCTGGGGAATAAAGTTCAGTAGATGCGGTGTGATTTGGGTTTCCAATTGGGGGGGGGGGGGAGGATGCCAATCCTCCCGCTTCAATTTTAGGACCTAGCACTGTCCTACTACTACGTAACTAGTTTGTTCAGGAGGTTTGCAGCAGATAAGAGAATACGATACTAGTGTTTAGTATCTAGATAATGATAACAATTACTCCCGTCAATATTGCCCCAATAACGAAATTAATTTATGAACTAAATTATTTAAGTACATCATATGTTTTATGTAGCGAATAAATTCACGGTTTCAGATGTGTTAGTTTTGCTTATGTCCGCAGTCGGGGTTGGTGGATTCAATTAGCTACTCGGGTCTCGGTTTTAGATTGATGACTGACACATATGGTGTCATTGTGGATAAACGGGCATTATGGAGCCACGAACGGGGAGCAGGGCATGACATTGTATTCAGAAGTCAGATGGGATTGAAATCAACTCTCTTTTTTTTTTTCCTTTTCCCCATTGTAATCCGGCAACCCGCAACCCGCAACCTATTGTTTGCTTGCTTCATCCGACCGATTTCATCATGCAAACATGTTGTCAGAGAAGCCACATTCCATGGCTTGTTTTGTGGCAAAGACATCCCCGGCTAAAAATATCCCAAGCTTCCGGGTGCTTTGTTTTCTGGTTTTTATTTTATGATTGTTTAATTTCATTTTTTCTTTTCCCTCTTTGTTTACAGTGTATTATTACCTTTTCAGAATTTTGCTCATATCTTCATGCCAATGCTTGGCCCCCTGACAGAGCAGACAATCCAGAGCTAGCTACTTAGTTATTTATCTATGAACCACGGGAGACTGTCGTGTGCCGCGCGCCAAATTCCTGATCTGATGAATTCCCCTCCGATTCGGGCAGGTCCATAGAAATCACGGCGATGAGATAATCCGGCATGCGCGCGCACAGCCAACGTGAGGATGCCGCCCCGTTGGTGTAACAACCAGCCCTGCTTCCAAGGACGATTGCGGTAATTCATTGTTGGTCAAGAGACCTGTTCGCTCTCCTGTTTTGAACATACTGTGTAAGTGATGTATGTATATGTACTCTGTAACTTTTGAGATTTATTATTATCGTCAGCTAGTTAGGCAGACGAATAAACTTGACCGTTCGCG